AATTTTGAAGTGGTTGTGACAAGGCAGTTGTCTTTCTGTCATTGTTTTCCAGACCTGTTCCAGAGATTACCTTTGCTGGAGCAAAAATTATCCAAGCTGTCCTCATAATACATTTTGTATTTCTGCTGAGATAATAAAGATAGATAACAATTAATGCAAGATTTGAAATGACTGTCAGCCTACATGAGACTTGATAGAGATCTTCACAAAGAGTTTTTTTGCTTGGTTGTCAGAGACAATTTTCATTTGCTGTCAAATTGGGCTGTATGCTAACGTGCAATCAAGAGGTGAATGATTCTGTAGCGGCACAAGAAAATTATTAAATAGTCTTGTCTTAACTTGGATAGTCTGTGCTGAACAGAATATAAAAAAAGACAGTTATGAAGAAGTTTGTGGATGATATTATGCGGAGTGAGTTTCAGACTGTGCAATTTTATACATATTCTGTGCCAAATTTATGAATACTCAGCTTAGCATAGGGATGCACACTGACTTGTCTGTTGGAAGGGATGTAACATGCTGAAATGAAAATGAGCAACTACTGGCTCTGAGCAGGTCCTAGAGTTTCAAGGAACTGGAAATACTGTAGTGACACTTTTTTCATTGACAGTATGTTCCAGCCTTCTCTGTGCATACTGTCCCTGCTGACTCCAGGCAACAAGGGGTGCAATTGCTCATTCAGGCTTAAATGAGCGCTACTGGGACTCGTAAAGGGGCTGTGTAGCATGTAGTCTGCAAAGACAGGGTTATTTCTTCTGATCTTAACTTCTGTGAAACGCAATGTCTTAAATTTGAGCGACGACGGTAATTGCTCTTGTCGTTACTTTTAGGACAATGAGTGTATTTGTTTGCTGGCAAGAATCCCTTGCAACTACTTCATTTTTTATTTTTTTTTCTCGTGCTATTCTTTTCATTGTCAGCACTAGTAGTTAACATGTTATAATTCAACTCCCACTCTGGACAGGCTTCCTCTGGTATTCACTAAGAAAGTATGCTGGATGCAAAGATAGGATGTTAATTTTCACAGTTCATGTGAACTGTAGGACAGAGGACGAGATCACTGTGTTCTCACAATTCTTCCTTCGTGCCAGCACTTAATGATCCATTGAACTTTTTCCTTTGTGCTAAATACCACCAAAATAACATGTTTATTTTTCTTCCTTCTTATGGTGATGACAGTAGACAGAGCGCAAGTGTCTTGCCTTCTCCACCTGTTCTTTTGTGGGTGAATGACCAGAACATACCGATAATGTCTGAGGCTGCAATTCTGTGCTAACCGCATTATACCAGATCTCTGGAATGGAAAGAGTAAGAAAATGTGTCTGTACTTGTTTGCAAGTTCCCGTTTTAAACCAAAAGACCTTCAAATACTGCCCATTCTGGAATGAGCAAGAATAGAAAACGAACATCCAGTTTTCCATGGATCCTGAAGTTTTGATTTGCTATTGTTCAATGATAATCCCTGCTTTTTATGCTCAAGGTATAGTTAACAGCATATATCATCTGCAAAGGTAGATTTGAATTTATGTGACTGTTAAGGGGATGGTCAGTTCCTCATTACTCAGTGACACCAATCTGATTCTGCTCAAACAGATTTTATTCTCTCCCCTCCTGCCCTCCGCCTCCAAAAAATTTACAGGTAGGTATGGGTAAATTTTCCTAGCAAGGTAATGCCAGAAACTTTTCCAGTTTTTTTTATAAGCTTTCTCTTTTTTTTTTTTCTTCCTTTTTTTTTTTTTTTTCCCAGTGATCACAGTTGAGCCCAAACAACGTGCTTTTTAACTACCAGGTCTTTGATTTTGGTTTTGGCCGAGCTCTACAGATCCAAGTATCTTCATCAGAACTAATACTTTTTTAAATTTGCATTTTGGTGCAAATGTGTTACAGAGGATCTGTCTGATTACAGTAACTAATGCACATTAATATTATGCCTAATTTTTATATTTTTTTTACTATAAATCATTCTCATTTTCTTTTACTTTTTAAAATGGAAGCAAAGGCTGATGTAACGCTTCTGCCATCCTTTGGTTTTGTAAAATATTTGTCAATTCAAATATTATTTATTTACTTGTGACAATGAGTCACCAGCAGACAAATAGCTCATTTATTCTGCTGGCAGGAGGTTAACAGTAAGTGTTGACAGCTTATGAAGGGACTGGTTTTAACAGTCGCATATCATTGTAGTTGTAGTTTTGGGGATAGAAGAATATATTAGAATAGTTACCTACAGCTAACAGAAAAGAAGTTGTACTGTGAACTGTTAGTGATGTGCTGTGTGGTATTCTTTCGGCATGTGTAACACAGGAAGGGAATTGGATTCAGCTGTCTGTTATTCCCGTATGGTTCCATTCATTTTGTTACAGTTATGGGAATAAGTCCCAAGTTGTTGGAAGAACAGTGTTTAAAATGTATTTATTTATTCTGTGATAGCTGAGCTTGAAAAATAAAGAGGTCAGAACCGCTGCTGTAATTAAAAAGTTCAAAAGGTAAATTTTAGAGGCAAAGAAAAACTTGCAGGTCAGTCATCTGCTCCTTTGAACTGGGCGGCTGTGTTTGCCATGGCTTCGAGTCCAGCACAAAGGTGGGTCATATCCTAAGCAGGCGGGAGACCACCACGTGCAGCTGTGCACAGCTGTGCAGCGATGGAAAGCTCCCTGTGCTTCCCAGGGGCCACCCTCTGCCCCCTCTCCTGTGGGCAGGTGATGGTGGTGAAAGAAATAATGATCAGTTCTCCTGTGCCTTATTGTGGGGCTGTTTTTTTTCAAAATAGGGGTACAAAACTTGAAGTGATTAAAATGAGAAGATTGTCAGATGTTAGCAAATGCACTCAACAGCCACCCCGAGCCCACAGCATCTCTGTGCACCTCCAAGTGACTGCAGGAATTGTGCCCGACTGCAGCCTCCGCTACACCGGGTGTGGGAATGGGCTGAGCTGGCTGCAGGGCAGGCAGTCTGGCTGCCGACTGCAAGAGTGAGGCTGTGGGAGTGGGAAATCCCATAAATGGGGAAAGCCCCCGCCGAATCAGCCTCATCTGATGCAGCGTCTGGTTTCATTCCCCCTTTTTCTGGGTGGGAAGCACTGTGGAGACAGACCGAAGGCCCTGCGAGTGGCCGTGCCCCTTCTCCCCAGCTGGGTGATGCTGCTGTGGGGCCGAGGCAGGGGCTGGTGAAGCAGCACTGTCTGCTGGCTGTGAAACAAGCTGTTAGTCCACAGTGGTGAAATAATGTTTTTTCCCCACTTTATGCTTATTATACATCTTGAGTTGAATATTCTTGTACATAACCGTGAGCACGTATCATCTGTCTCCGATCTTTTTTCCCCCAGCACAGATATTCGACTTCTGCAGTGTTATAATCTCATTTAAATAAGCATAATTGAAGCACAGATGTGACAAACGTTAATTTGCATTTTTAATAGGAGGGAGGCTACACAATGTATTTGTGAGTCCTGATAACAGTAAGCTTTTCTTTCCCCATCCCAGATTTAGGATCTTTTTTAGTGTCAGATTTGAACTATAATGCTGAAAGTTGTCACCCGCACTGTAATTTAAAAATACATCGCATGTTGTGATGAAGGACATTCCATACCTAGGAGAAGGAAACATGAAAAGACTTTTCAATGTATTCAAGACAAATACTTCTAGAGGGTGTTGTGGCAGTGTCTCCTTCGACCCCCTTTGGTAAGGTGATTGCTTGCAGGCGTCCCAAGGGGTGTTATGAGACAGAGGGGAACCGAAGGAGAGCAGAGGCTTTGGCAGGAGCTCAACACCCAGCCAGGATTTGTCAGGTAGAGCCACCAAATCACAGCCTTCCCACTCTGTCTTGTGGTCAACAGTGTTCTGAGCCCAAAATTTGTTGGGTGGGGCTTTTTGGTGGTGGTATTTTGTTTGTTGGGGTTTTTTTTCTGAAAGGAAAGTGGGGGGAAGTAAAGAAAATAAATGCATATTCCCCCTGGCATATTGTGGGTCAAACTGGGAACATGAAAACCTAGCTCTAGTCCAGAAATTCCTGCAGTCTCTTTAAGTCTTCCTTAAGAAAAATGTAGGAAAATAATCGTACTATCTTGACGTTTTTATCATTTTGATCCTAATGTCATTGCCTGAGTACACAGAAGTAACATCTGGTGGAAACCTTTTTTGCAAAAAGTTTCTCTTTAGCTCTTTAAAATGTGATTGTTGAGCAACAGAGGCCTAAATTCCAGTTGGTGTAAAAATAATGGACAGGAATATATTTTGCATGTGTATTTTTTATTGCTGTTTGCTGAGCAACATTAATTCAGCAGTGCAAAAGTGTAGTTCCATGAACATGAATGTGAAACTGGGAAAAGGGAAACAAGAGGGACTAATTGGGATTCATCTTTTGCAAATGTCTGAAATTAAGAAATAGAAAAACAATCTGAATGGAAAAAAATTATGTTAACAGTAACCAAATATTTAGTATTTGCTGTTTGTTGGCTTCAGACAATTTCCCCTTCAGCTTAGGAGAGCTCTCCATTACCCTTTCCTGCACGTCCCTGCAGTTGTGTGTAGAACCTACACAGCTCGCTGTGGTACCCTGCATCGCCCTGCTGGGACAGGGTACCTGCCTTCTAGGTATTGTAACCCCTCAGCTGGAGGCCCCAGTTGAACTTTAAACTAAGATTTTCATAATGGCATATGTTCTTTGGAGGACAAATGAGTTCTGTGTTGCATCTGTGAATGAATGCTGAATTCTTAAGATACTTACATAGCATTGCATATGGGCTAATATTGTACATATGTATTTCCACATTATCTTACAAATGTATTATGAGTATTACTTTGAAGGAGTTGCTCTAGTGGCTCATACAGTAGCCAGAAGATTAAATTCTCTCTATTTGGAGATGTGATACTTCAGTCTGAAATACGATTATCGTCTTTGAAAAGACTTTCAACATGTTTATAATTTAAAGCTGAAAGAAAAGTTAAAGGTTGGTTAGCAGTGCAAATAATACTTTCTGATTATTTTACTTACATCTGTAGAATAAAAAACCTAACGGTGGAACTTAAAAACAAGCAAGATGAATTTAAAAGTGTGAAAGATGATTTGCGGTATTTCCAAGAGGAAAAGGAAGCTGCCTATAAGCAATCGCAAGTGCTCAGGTAAGAACCCCAAAAGAAATGCTGATGTCGTGCCTCCTGTGAACATGTACAATCAGTTGAGAGGATTCAGTGGAGATGAAGGGGCAGGCAGGGACAATACTGTGAGTGAGAGAAGTGTTTATAACCATCCCAGTGCTTCTTGCTTTCCCAGAATATAGTGAGAAGCTGTAGTATTAGTGAACACAATGGGAAAATATCACTGTTGATTGCTGATGTTATTAGTAACAGGGTAAGTACTTGACAAATTTAAAAGTATTAATTAACACTTAAAAGCAAGTGTGTACCACTTGCTTGTAATACATTTGAAATACAGTATTTCTTACATATATTGTTTGTAAAGAGTCATCATAAGCTTGGACGTATAGTCATTTAAACATGATTGCTCTGATTTCTTAATAAAAAGTGATTGTACAATTGTCAGTACAATTTTCTTCATTTATACATGTAAGTTCTAAATCAACATTTAGAAGGGAGAAACTGATTATAAATATACAGTGTATTTCATACACTAAGATATTGTAACCTGATATAGGGTAAGTTATCATATAACAGAAAAGTAGTTATCAAGTTTACTTTAGTTCCCAAGTTTACTAATAGTATTTTGTCATTTTAAAAATGTATGTCTGGTATTATTTTTCTTTCTTGCAGAAATACAGTGGAACACCATTGCTCAACTCTGAACAAGGCTGTCTCACTGTTTCCTTTCATTAGAAGTGAGCTAGACAGTATTAAGGAAGTCATCTCCAGTAACCTGGAGAACTGGGCTGCCATGAAAGAAGAAATTTTTCTACAAATAAAAACTGTTAGTAAAGAAGCTTTGACAGGTAAATCATCTTGCATTTTGGGCAAGATAAAATATTTTTTTGGTAGTTGAGTGTAACACATTAATGAATTATCTGTTTTCTAATTCTGACATTAACTTTTCCTGATCCAAAGTATTAGAAGACCTGATGTACTGCTGTGGCACCATACGAACAGAGTTGAACACAGTCCGGTTCCTATTGCATTAGTGTGCTGGACAGATTGTTCAGTTAGCCAAGCCAGACTTAAATGGAAGTAATATAAATACTTCCCATGATTTGAAACATAAATAATATACTTACTAGGAGTATATGGATGTGATTGCAACACAAAGACTTGGAGATATTTTAATTTGCTTTGTGTCTCCTATTGCCAGTTTTTCGCAAATGCTCGCATACACACGGGATATTTTACCAATATTTTACAAAATCGAAGGACGGCAATGGTATATTATCCTTTTGTGGAGCTGCGTGAGGGCCCTGCAGTGCTGCGTCCTCACCCCATGGGCAGGCTGCACCTCTTCCCTTGGGCAACCCACTGGTGTACACGTGCGGTTGCCTTGAATGCATGGGCGTATGAGCAAACCTGCACCTAGCATGTAGCAACTGTTCCCTCCTTCCATTTCTGAATAAGAACAAGTAATACTCAAATACAGCTGTCTTTATCTGAGGGGTCTTTGGGAGTGAAGGGGCATGGAGCAGCCCATGGGCTGAGAATAATTCACTTGGCCCACAGCCTGCTTCCTGCTCAAACAAGGGCAGCCTTTAGGAAAAAAGGCGCTGGGAGCAAGTCACAACCGATGGCTTGTTCATGAAGGTCGTGCCCAGCCCTCAGGCTGGTGGTCGGACTTGAAAACTCGGTTTTATCCTTGAATACCATTTTTGGTCTGTCTCAGTTAAGAGATTAGTTTTGCTGAAAAAAGTGTGCAGCATTGTAATTACAGACTGTACCATCCAGAGCATCTAAACAGCCCCTGAGTGGACTTTTGCAACTTTAATGGTCTTTGGACATAATTTTCATATACATATTCCTTTCCTTATAGTTTTTGTGTGCTCTGTGTGCATGAGTTGATGACCCTCTATTTAGTCTGGAGGTTAGTTTTATCAGGGTTATAAGGTAACAAAGAAGTAGGTGAGCTGATGTCATGCTTCCTGTCCTTGTGGGAAGGAATGGAAGAGCATGGTGGGTGATGTGCATCTCCCAAACTACTCCGCTGGTGAAATCATGTAAACCCAGCGCAAATTCACAGCTTAAAGTGAAACCTGCGTGCGTGGAGTATCTCAGAAAATATGTAGCTTCATTTTAAATAATAGCTCCCCAGTAGCCTATGTTTCCTGTGAAACTAGAAGTAATTTTTAACGTTTTCAATGATTGCTTTGTTCAGACTGGGAAGAAATAAGTGGGGCAGCTATGCCTCGGGAGCAAGTAGGCACGCATCCCACTGAGACAGCGCCTGGGTCTGTACAGAGAGTTTGGGGCATCCTGAGCCCGGGCAGCAGCAGAGAGCCCAAAAGGAGGGGGGCTCTCACCTGCTGAAGATGAGTGTGACTGGAAAATCACTCTTTAGTATTCAGTTTTTGTAAGAACAATTAATTTAAATGTCAGTGTCAACATCACGCATTTTGATTCATGACTTCATCTCCTAATTAGACTGAGCACAGAAAGTATTGTGTGTCCATACGGATTCCTCTCTTCCTGTGCTCATTCTCTGCCTACTTCTAGCTAATACAGGGAATATGAGCACACATTTCTGCAAACGTCTTCAGGTTCAGAGAGATTAATAACATTTTAAGGCTTCTTTTCTCAAGTAGCTCTTGTTTTATTTGTTGTAATACTGCAAATATATAGAATACTGAAGCAGAAGTGCAGCCTTTCAGGTTCTCTTAATGATTTATTTCTTGTTCTATATGATAAATATACCATTATACATGCTGTGTATCCCCAGCTGCACTCAACAATATCCCCTTGCGAACAGTGCCACAATGTGAATATTATCTGCATCCTTAAATCTAGCTTTCTAAATCAAAGCAATGTAGTCACACTTTTTTTTTCCCCCTATGAGTGCCATTCAAAAGCTTTATGTTCTGTTTTAGGGGTTGTTCATTATTAGTGTACGGTAACATTAATATTTAGTAATTTTTTTGTTTCTTACCTTACCGTTCTTGCAACAAGATTTTCAGAACTTGTTTTCTATTCATATTTTGAGAAGAAAAATGTTACATGAGGTGCTGCTCTTTATGCCTAGACCAGTTTGCTAGGTGAGTTTGAAAACAGCTTATAAAAAGCCCTTGTGTATGTACATTATTTAGCCTTGGTTCATTAATGGCAAGCAAAAAGAAGTATAAGAACGTAAAATCTTCTGGTATTTACATCATTTAGTCTAACAATAAATTAAGTATGGAGTAGTTAGGAAAGATTGTAGGCAATGAAAATATTGGCACCACAGAAAGAATTTAAAATTTTCATGTGGGCAGCATATAAAACATATGTAATAGCTGACTTGACAGAATTAGACTTCATCTAACTTGAACGTTGTCATCATTATGTAAATAAAAGTGATACAAGTTCTTTGGATAACTGAACATTTAGGGCTGTCGTTGGAGAAGAAAAGAATTGCAACTCCTTTTGGAAATGTTCAGATGTACTCATTAAAGATAACTGAACTCAGGAAAAAGTATGAATATGTAGGAGACCCTCTATACCCCACCCATGATTTACTTATTTACCTTGCAGTAAAAACTACCTGGGAAACTTCCTTGGGAATGCTGCTCTTCCACATTGAAAAACTAATGAAAGAGTGACAAAGCCTGTCTTTTATATAACAAAGATGCACATTGTGATTACTCTAACAGCAGTAGTCACCTAAAGAGTGAGAAAATAAAATGTAATACACATGCCCAAACATCTTCTGAACCAAAAGGTTCAAATGAAGCTTTAGCAGAGGCTAACCCCCTTGATATCTTCTCAAATTAATTTCAAAATGAGTCTGCAATTGTTTTTGTATGTCAGCAATGGTTTGTGTATCATCTTAAGATAAAAAGCTTGGATTCAAATATTTGTCACCTGTTTTTACTTCATTTGGAATATATACATGTATTTAAATTCAATTTTGAGATAATACGTATTTAGACAAAATACATATTCTTGTTTTAGAATAAAATTTGTATTACTTGTCAATAATATGTGTTTGTGTAATAATTTGTGTAATACCACTCAGCAGAAATGTTGCTAATGTACGTGGCTTACACTGACCCATACCCAAACTAGGGTTACAGAATGCTGAAGTCCTGAGCTGTAAATCAGGGATAATACTTTTTAGTGAAGAAGGTAAATTTGACAGCGGTCTATATGATTATTTTTTTTTCCCCTTCCTCAGAAATACCCAAATTGAATCAAAGACTAGCAAAATCCCAGAGAGAGAATGAATGCCTCCAAGAAAAGGTAAAACATCTGACACTGGTGGCCGACACAGTTGAGCTGAAAACTCAACAGCTTCAAACTTCACTTCAGCAGGGGAATGAGCTACAAAGTAGGTGCCGTGAATTACAAAAGGAAACGTTAGGTAAGAGGATTTTGACATTTCAATCAAACTTCCAAGTAAAATGAAATGTAAAAAAAAAAATTTGTAAAGCATCTAAGTTGTGGCTGTTACTGTGGAAGCACTCAACAGCTCAGCTCAGACGGAATAAAATGTGGATGTTGTGCAGCCACAGGACAGCATGTCATTCTGAGGAGCTTGTTACCCTGCTGGGAACTTGAGTCAGCTGGGGGAGGGAAGCGAAGGAAGGGAGGAAAACGGTGAAGATGGGGGCAATACAATTATGCTGTTGCTTGTCAATCTCATGTGAAACATCAGGGAGAAGGCTCGGAGGTTAAAATTAAAAGAAATGCTCTCATTTTGAGTGGAAGGCCAGGAAGGAATTTTTGCCATCAGCAACAGAACTGAAATGTAAGCCAGGCTAAGCCATTCTCTTTCCTCATAGATTCATTAAACTTGAGACTGCCTAATGATTTGCCCTTGATAGTGTGTCTCAAGAATCTAGAGAGTCCTCTTGAAAACTGTAAGAGCAGTGACAACACTTGAAATTATAATATCTTGTGAGCTCTGTTGAGACAATAACTCATTACAAAAAGATTATTTATATTAGTATCTCTTGAATCTCTTTTCTCTTGAAAGCAGTATTGCATTCGTAGTGGCTTAGAGACATTTTAAGACCTTGAAAACATGTAGAGGTTGTGCTGTTCCGGGCAGAGTTTTGAATCATCAAATTGGCACAGCAATTACCATGCTGCCTTATGCACAGGATGTAATGTCAAATTTAAAGCAGTAGGTCTCAGTGCTAGTCACGATGAAGGAATGTCACTGTTCCTTCAATATCAGTGATAATATCAAACGTGGGACTGCAAAGTAGAAGACTGCGGATACCATCCAGTGAGTTATCAACCCGTGTCTCTGAGAACAGTCTTTATTTTTGTCCCTGTATAACAATACCGTTAGGAAAGCTCCAGCAGCAATGCGTTTGAATGGTAGAAATGAGCAGATAACTCTACATCATTTTCCAGACAGTGTCCATATAAGAAATGGACTTAGTATGCCTTCCTTTTTGTGGTATTTATTCAAAAAACTAACTTTAAATGAATGAAAAATCAGTTAGATTTTGCTCTGACTATTCACAGCATCCACTTTTGTCTTTTTTTTTTCTTTTTTCTTGAGGAGCTGCTAAGAATTCCAGTATCTCGAAAACTTGCTCATGACATTTTTTGGTAGGCTCATTGTCTTTTTAGAGCTACCTCTTATTACTTAGTCCTTTGTTCAGAGTAAACCCTGGCAGGAATGATCTGGGGAGAGGATTGCCTTAGAAGTGTTTAGCTCTCAGTCATTAGGCACAGTATCTCATTCTGAAGACTTGAGTTAAATGGAAAGAAATGCATCAATTCTATTTAAATTTCCTTTTTCAAGGCAATTTGGACAGTGTGAAAAATTGTACCTTTTTGTTTGGCTTGTATGTAAAATCACTAGGATAGGTATTTATTTATTTTAGAAAACATGAAATAAAATGCTGGTATCTGCTATGTTAATTTTTTGCAAAAAAAGTAAGCAATCTCAATATTATATGTACTATATATATTAAAAATATGTATTATATATTTGAGACAAGAGCCTGGGTAAAAAGTAATAGTAAAAAAGCCAAAATTCCAAATAAACTCAAGATAACATCACTAGAAAAGATAAAACTGGAGGAATTAACTACTTGTACTGGCTAGCTAGATCATGTTACTTGTCCCAAGAGCATAATGTTGCCTGTGGCTCCTCATGTGTTACTGGAAACTTGCTTGGAAAAGATGCCAGAAATGCATTCGTTTCTGTTGAAAAGACAAGTGTGTTTCTCCTCCATTAAGAGGTTATGTTTTATCCAAATAATCTGTGTACATGTACAGCTGCCAGGTTTGACTATTACAATGCCGCAGTCCAAAATTTGGAAATTATATGCTTTAGAATATTCTGTGTGTTCTGTTTCTTAATGTTCACTTTCTGTCTTTACTTATGCTGAAGTAACCCTAGAGATTGAGCTGGGAGGCTCTTACTGTACTAGGAATTGCTCAAGCGGATGGTATCACTCGAAAGCAGATAGCCAAGGTGACTGGCTCAAAAACAGCACGAGTGCCGCAGATCCTGCGATAAAACCTACAGCAATGATTTATTGCTGTTGATAAAGCTTTGCTTTCTCTGCTAGGAGGGTAGCACTTACAGAAAGAACGTTTATTTGGTCTTTAGTGTGGTCCTGTGCCATGCAAAGAAACTGTCTGAAAGTTCATTCGTACAGTAGCCTGGATATTCTACTAGAAGTGCTGATAATTGCGATGATTTATTTGCCACTTTGAGGACGAGTGTCACACGCCCTGTTCAGAAGCTATGGACCGATGCTTTGGTACATGCTTGTTACATGTCATGTTTTGGTCACTGTTGTATTCTTTAGAAGCATTGGACGCAAAATGCTCGTTTTGACCTCATACTTGGCTTTCTTCTGTGTTCGTTATAACCAGAAAACGTATTTCCACATTCTTCTTAGAAATATCTTATCCTCTATCTTGGTATAAATAGATAAAAGTAGTGATAAGTCATATACCGTTAGACCATTTATTATTTTCTTTAGAAATCTGAGTTTCTGCGGCTTTCCAAATGGGTCTACTACCTGGCTGCCTTGAGGAAAACATAATTACATTTCACACACATTTTTTAGGTGGAAAAATGAATCAAAATAAAACAATTGCAATGCAAAAAATAGCTCCTTCTCAAGTATACTTTGACATTTCATTTGTGTTGAAAAGTGTTTTAAGTGTCTTTTATGAAGTAAAAAAACATCATGAATGGCACAAGTTAGTTGTCTGCTGGTGTGCAGACTGTTGTTGTTCTTTCCTTAGTGTAAGCACCAAGAACAGTCCTTCGTACAATTTCCAAACTGTAGATTTTACTTTTTATAAGAGCCATGTTCAATGTAACTCAGATAATTTTACACATTATTGGGTTAAATTTTTTTTGCTGAAGGGGCTGTGTGTGGGCATGTGAAGCTGTTGGTGGATTCAGTGGTAGTTCACATGCATTCTCGGGAGCTGGAATGTTGGCACTCGCTGCTGTTGTAGAAAGTCTAAAGTCCATTTAATTTGGTATCCTGTCCTCACCGCTGAAAACACTGCATGGTTCAAAGGAAGGAGTAGGAACTCTAGGATAGCAATTATAGGATAATCTATCTTCCTTGTGTGTCTCATCTTGATCTAAGAGGTCCTTGAGCCTAATAAGACAATCTTCTAAGCTTTGAAATATGTGGTTTAATATCATTACATAAGACACTTGTATCATTACATTTATGCTGATATGAAAACTACCCTTAGTTAGAGTTTCCTTTTCGGTTTTGTAAAGCTGTTTACATCAGAGGATCCTGTAAACAATGAGTTCATAGTTTGTTCATGTGCGTTATAAAAGTACACTTTCTTTTTCAATTTTTCCCACCTTAACTCCGTGGAGAGTTGTCTTGTTCTTATGTTAGAAGACCAGAGAAAGATGCTCGCAGTCGTTTGTTTTTTGGTGGTTTTTTTTTTTAAGATTATTTTGTCCATGTTATATTTCTGTGATGCTTGCATGGCTTTGTGGCCTATCTTCTCAAAATCTGAATTTACTTCCCTAACATGACATGTTGCACCAGATCATCACATCAAGCACTTAGTTATATTTAGGTTCTAATTTCTTACCTTTAATTGATATGCATAACTTAATAACTGCAGCATATATAAATATATATATATATATGAGTAACACTTCATGAGCAGGCTCAGGCTAGCTCACATAGAGCATGTCTTCTTTTTGTGCTGAAAAAATCTGAGTTTAAAAAGAAGTGCCTGTTCTAGAGGCCCTGTTCCAGCCTGTGGATCATCTTGCACCTTTTTTTTTTTTTTTTTTTTTTTTTGCTGTATAAGAAAACCAAGATTGCTCAATGTTTCTTATAAGATGATCACTGTTTTCAGTGGCTTAGAATATTACCAAACTTAACTAATCAATGATTTTTGAATATTAATTCCAGTAAAAATGGTCATAGCTTTCACAAGGGTGGGATGGCTGGAAAAGTCATTGGATTTTAAATTTAAATCTTATGCTGCAAAAATCTTTTTGAAAACCCCACAAACCTTCTGTTCTCTGAAAAAAGACTTTGAGGCAGGAGGTTTGACAGATTTCTTGACACAGAGAACGAAGTTAAACTGACTTGTGAGCCTTTGAAAACTGAATCGATATTTGTTGGTGTGGTGGCTACACTCTCCGTGCTTTCGGTTTATGAGTCTCCGGAATACAAGGGCTGGGCAGCGCTTTCCTGAGCCCTGCTTGTTCCCTGTGGCGCTGGGCAAGAGGGCAGAGGACAAGGGAGGTTGTCTCTGGTGCACGCCCAGTGCTGTGCCTGCTCAGTGCCCTGACCGCTGGGGCAGGGAACAGCCTGGATGTGGGAGCACGTAGGTTAGGACACGGTGACAGGCGTATCAGGGACCTTGGCTCCCCGGCTGCTCTGTAAATGAGCTGGGGAGCACACACTGAGCAGTGAAATGCCAGTCCTGAATAGCTGGAGTTCTTTCGTCCTGTGTGGCAACAGACGCAGAAACCCTGTGGGGGGAAAAACCAGCATGCAATTATATCCTGAGCGAGTATTTCATAATGCATAGTTAATAAAGCATGAAAAACCAGCTGATATTTTTACATGTTTGACTGCAGCACTTACTCCAATCACTAGTGCGGTTTTGAGTGTTGCGCTGTAGGTGTCTTATCCTGCATCCAGTTGTTCTTCAGTGAGAAGCATGGTTAAAGCCATTTCCATTTTGCTTTGAGACCCAAAGTCTACTGTCCCATTCTCATTTTGAATCATTCCCAAAATGCACAGACGTTGCAGGGTGTTCTGGAATAGTGTTCACAGAAGGAAATGGGAGCAATGTGCTACAAGAAAGAACTGGATTTGGATATGATAGTTGTGCTCTGGGGTGGCTGGGAAGAGGGTGCTCTCAGCAGCGCGTGTTGAGAAGGAG